AAAATAAGTGTTCCTGAGCTGTACTCTTCAACTGTTAAGCCAGTATCCCATTACTTGGTGCAGACAGGAAAAGTTGCTCTCTCACCTTTCATAAATCTTAAAGACAGCTCTGATACGACCGGAGAGTGAGTAGCTGCTGTCCCAGCCCCGACACCTGCCGCACAGCTTGCCGGCCACATGTCTCATCACAGGGGAGAGGAGCAGGCGAAGCAGCTCTAATTGCTCCTTTCGTGCTTCCACATCAGGTTAAGCAAGTGCTGGAAGTCTGAGTGACTGAAGGGAAATGCTTACCTTGGCCTTCTCCCCAGAGGGAAGAAGCTGATAACTAGCCACCCATCACGTTCCCTAATTCTCTACTCTGATCCTTACACTGAGGAAGAGGTATTAGGGTTGGCTAACATGTATCAGCTCCCTGTTCTCCTTATCACACAGACCAGAACATGTTAATTACCAGGTATTGACACCCATGCACAACCTGTGCTCCCTAAAAGCACATATAAACAGAGACATGAATCTCTACACTTGCCCTACCATTAAAGAATACTCTCTCCAGATCAATGCAATAGTTAACAGAAAAAAAAATTACAGGCTGCTTCTGATCCTTGCTACTAAGCAGTCCACCCGAGATCACCAATCTGACCCTCACAGTGGGATGCAAACACTACCTTTTTGTGTAACTTGGACAGTCTCGAAAGAAAATATTACACAACTATCAATCTCATCAAGTTTTTTATTTTCATCTTTTAATATAAATATCTATGCCTTGCAGATTACACTATACCCAAATTTTTTTCAGTTTCAAGTCTCTTTATGGATATACTTCTCAGATTTCATTTTAAATTATCCATCCTCTAAAAGTAGGGCTCTTCTGTGAGACAGCAGAAAGGAGCAGAACTTTGAAAAAAACTACTGCCAAATGTTTTAAATATTCTTTTCAGTATTACTTTAACGTTGACTACCTTAACTTCTAATATCACTCTTCTATAGCACGTCAGTAACACAAAGATGTCTTTGTAACACCACAGTCAAATTCAGGCCAAGAAATGCAAGATTTGAACTTCAAGATTGTTTTCTTCCAACAGCAGTCATCTTTATTATTTATATGCAGTTATTTGCAGCAGTTGTAATGCTTCACATTCACGTAAGCCTGATGACAAAAAGGGCTTCAAAAAAACAGAATATAAAAGAGAACATCCCTATCACATTCCCATTCACTATTTTTTTTCCAAAAAGTTAATTTGTCAGTGTAAAACAAATAATCATCCTTGCCAAATTACCACTGACCAACTGCATGAAGAACAACCCGTGTGGGAATTTTAACGCTCAACACGATCATGTTTTTATTGCTGTTTTGGTGTGTTTTTAAAAGTATTGCCTGTTAACAGGTTGCACTTTTTTTGTTTGTTTGTTTTCAAAAAGAAAAAAAAAAAAAAAAAAAAAAACATTTTGGGAAGAGACAATCTCAAAAACCTTTCATGTTTTATTGTGTCTGAAAGGTAGTTCTGAAACTTTCAGACTTGGTCTGAAAGTCAATCCCAGCTGACTGAGGGTGATAATAGCCTATCACTGAAAGAAAGGGAAAGTCAGAACTTCGCTCCAAAACCCCTCAAAACAACCCTTAAGCAAAAGAGAAGGGGAAGGGGGGGGGGGGGAACCACCACCCAAACAAACCATACAACATTTGCATATATTTGGATAAATTAATTCAGAGTAACAAACATGGCTGCATGACTAAATTGGTCAAAGAACATCCTGCAGTCCTAGGCAGTGCTGAGGAATTTGGCTAAAACTTGTCTGCACTGTGGTCATCCCCTAGTTTCACACGCAGAAATACTGAAAACAAAAAATAGGGTAGAAAGGGATGCTGACATGGATATCCACTTATTAACCGCTTCACCCCTAGCAACCAAATTTCTGGGTAAGATGGAAGCCTGTAGGAAAGGATGAACATTTTTGGCAGAGTTTATCTGGAGGACATTAAAATGGGGGATTGCCTGATAACATGCCTTTTCTGCTTACGAAGTTGAAAATGTGCAACCACAACATAACAGTAAATATATTGCTCTGTTAAGTTTATTTTTCCTCAAAACCTGATTGTGTCAAAAATGACTGCACTAGGGGAAATAGTTAAATGCCTTTAAGGGTTTTCAAATCCAGATGAGAGAACATTCCCGTACAGCCTATTCCATCAGCATCTTCCTCTATTTCCTATGCTGTTATTTTATGTTGTGATCAATATTTCTCAAACATTATTCTCTCTGCTGCAAAACCAAAATGGAAGACTTGACCATAACAGCACTATCCTAAGAATACTTAATTTGCCTTTTCATTAATATAATTAAAATAATTTTATTGTTTTCAACTCCCTAGTCTAATAATCCAGAAGCATAAGAATTAGGAAAAACAGGGAAAAGAATGAAGGACTTTGAGAGTTAAGTCACTTGCTTTCCATATAACAAGCCTTGTAGCACAATGCACTTGTAAATAACTAGCATCTCCCAAGCCATACACATTAGCTGTGGGTCAGAAAGAAAACCATCAGAGCCTGCTTTGCTTTCTTTCATTAAAGTGTACAAATTTAAATGGATTTTGCAGTTGCAGGAAACATCTCCATCTGCACACTCATAGCTTGCCCTCTACCCCGCCCCCCAAGGGAGAAGCTTCTGCAGATCCTCACTTCATTAGCAATCAAAGCAAGAGAAGCAGCATACAGTATTAAACTGCATAACCTATATGTCTAGTGATTGATAAGTAATCTTATTTAATCATAGTAGCTTGTATGTTAGGCACTACAATACATTACAGTTGCTATGGCATTTAATTACAAGTGCATCTAACACTTTTCTTATCAAGTACACAATATAAACTGAGACTTTGTTCCCTGTCATTTCACACCCAAGGCAGAAGAGCAATAATTAAGAGCACAACAACAGAATTTAGTATTACACATTAATAATTTCAGAGTAGAAAACACACCTATTTCATCTGAACCAGAGATTTGGATTTGTTGTTAGCAATTTTGTACTGCATTCATAGCAGACACAACGTATTAGAATAAATTTGTAAATAAAAGATAGCTTTATATAGTTTTGGAGGGGAAACAGTTTCCATATAGAACTTAGTAACATACTATTTGGAGGGGCAGAAAGTGGCCCTGTTTCCCCTCTGTCTGCTCACTAGCATAGTGATGCCAAAAAAGGGCATCAACTGCCATCGTACTGCTTCTTGTAATCTCTGATCTGTGGCGAAATATTTTAGCTTTAACACGTTGCCTGTTAAACACACTTTTAACACTGTTGATATGAGCCTCACTTTACACAACATACATCTTGAAAGTTCTATTCCCAAGTACCTTTCTAAATCAGGCTGCAAGGGTGAACCAGTGCAGTTAGTACTGAGATTATCTGCACCAATTTACTTGCCCTAGCTCAGATGATAAAGAACACCATAATAAAATACAGCCTGTACCATAAACTATATTAACAACTTTTGGACTGGACATATTACTGTGATTTCTAACACTAAAATGATAACAAAGATATTTTTACACTGTAAACAGTTCTGATTCACATTTTGAAGGTTCTTCCCACTGCAAAAAAGTGAAGGCCACAACTCAAAACTTTGTGAGAGGCTCATTTCCTAGCTAAATTCAGGCCTAGACGAAAGCTTCCACACTGCAATACCAGATGACTTTCATTTTAACAGGCCAGCACAACTCAATGACTATATGCAAAAACCTAGTTATAGAAATCTGTAACATACAGCTGAAGGCTGTGAAGAGCCTTCACTGAGAAGTGCACAAGTTTACAAAAGATTAAGCATTAGAGAAAGAAATTAACACTGATAAAGCTTTTATGAAGTCACAGCCTGTAAACCTCATTTAGTACCTCTGGTCAAAAAACACGCTGATGAAACAGAAGCAGTGTTGGAAGAAAGTTGACAAAATTGCAACAAAAAATTATAAAAAGAAGTTCTTCATCTGTATCTCTTAAATTATTTCAGAAGTAAGGGGGGGGGGGGTGTTAACCTGTTTTACTAAAAGACAGAATACGAAATCCTAAATAAGGTCACTGAACATGTCATATTTATAACCCAGTCACTAGATACACCATCACACAGCATCCTCCCAACTCATTTAGATCGCTAAAATATCCCGTCTTGCACTCTTAATCCAGTTAGTTCACATTTTTACTATTTCATAGTTCATTCACTTAGCTCTTTAAGACTGACATTAACCAAAGCAAACACACACGATCGCTTTTTAGTGAGAGTTCATCTAAGTCTTCATGATACAAAATAAGCAAGAGCTAGACCAGCTGAAGGAACTTTCACCTCTATACATGTTAATTTACAGACTAATCTGGCAGGCTATGCAGCACAGACAGCACGTCCTAAGAAAAGCCAGGTAGGGGCAGCAACTCGTATACACAGATTCACTTTTTTTATCAACCGTGACCTCAGGGACACGCAGCCAGGTGAGCCTTCGCACAGGCACAAAGAGGAACGCGGAGCTGGCAGCAGGATTTTACGACCTTTTCCCCTTTTTGAACGCCCACAATCCCACTAGAGAGACGAAGAAAACAAGGAGAGCAACCAACTCTAGAGGCAGGGACAAAAAATATTCAAGAAAAAACCCGCACGACCGAAAGGAAAGCTGCACTCATCGATGGAGGAATTTTTTTTTTTGGGGGGGGGGGGGGGGGGGCGCGGGGGAGGGGGCAGGGAACACCCGGGGGTGGGCGGCAGCGGGGAAGGGGAAGGGTGATGCCGGAGGGACAACCTCAGAACACGAAGGGAAATGCAGAGCGAGGCTGAGATGCTTGAGCCCCGGCTTCCCCTCCTCCGAGGCAAGTCACGGGCCTCTCCCCCCTGGAAGGGCTGGCCGGAGCCCGGGGCCGGGCCCCGGGGAGGCTGCGGCCAGGCAGGGCGGCGGGGAGGGAAGGAGGGAGTTGTTGAGGGCAAGGGCGCTGCCCCAGCTGGGCTCGGCAGCCGGCACTCACCACACCATGCCGTAGGCCCCCTCGCCGATGTAGGAGAGGTTGGTATAGCGGGGCCCCACGTCGAACACTTGGCCCCGCACCATCTCTGGGCCCCCGGCGTTGGCAGAGCCGCCCGCAGCCCCGGCCCCCGACACCGCCGCCATGTTGTCCGTGCCGGGAACCGCGGTGACTGCGTGCGGGGGGGGGGGCGGGGGGGAAGGGGAGTGGGGCGGAGAGAGTAGGAAGGAGGACGAGGAGACGAGGAGAAGGATGCAGGAGGGAGGAGAAGAGACGTCGCCCGCTGTGGAGCGCCCGCCGCTGCCGCCGGCCCCAGGCCCCGTCAGCGCCGTCACCGCCGCGGCCGCTGTGAGGAGACGCCGCCGGCCGCGCGCGCGCGCATCGACCCGGGCCGGGGGGGGGGGAGGGGAGAAGGCGGGGGGGTGGGGGCTCGCGCGGAGGGCGCGGCGGGGCGGGGGCGGGGCTGGGGGGCGGGGCCGGGGACTGCGGTAACCGCAGCCGCTGGGGAGGGGGCGCGGCGGACGGGTCACGTGGTGGGTGCGCCGGCTCTGCGGCCGCGCGGCCGCTCCGGCGCCATTAGAGGCGTCAGGGGACGGCGCGCGGGGGGCGGGAAATGGAGCCCGGGGTGGGTGTTGGGGGGGGCGGCGGGGCCCGGGGCTCCCGCTCCCCCCGCCGCGGAGCGGGGGTCGAGCTCCTGGTCGCGGGAAGCGTTGAGGGCGGCGCTGGCGGCCCGCCGGCCCTCGGGCCGCTGCAGCGCGGCGCAGGATGCGCGGCGTGAGTCAGCGGCAGGAGAAGAAAGGGCTGCTCTTGTGTTTGAGACCCAGAAGGGCTGTGCCCGGCGCTTGGCCGTGCTACAACCTTCTGATGTCATGCAGCACAAGGTTATTATATGCAAAAGCTGAATTACTGTAATAAGGGCAAGTTTATTTCTTACGTTTCCTAACTTTAGTGCATAGTTTTGCAACCTCTATTTAACATACTGGTTTTATATAGAATTATATTTTCCTGTTAGTTCTTTCCCATGTAAATAAGCTCAAGGCTTTGAATGGGAGTTGAAAATGTGGTTGGTGGTTCGTACCATGCCATGGTAGCTGCTTGCAACAGCGTCAGTCTTTTCTGTTCTGCAAGGTGCAGCTTTCCTAAAAAAGCTTTTGCTTGATCTGGAAGTTTGCGAAAGTTATACACAAGGATCTTAACTCCACTTAGGATTTTTTTTTTTTTCTGCAGTTCTCTAATGGTCTTGGCAAAAAGTATTAACCCCAGATCTGAAATCCTACAGCTACTTGCTTTAACTACTATTTCCACAGCTGTTTGAGATGTGCTGTATGTTCTGTTTCTTCGAAAATTCATTCAAATACATATACAGCTTAGTATGCCTGTGTCTCCATGTTTATACCCATCCCAGTATTATCAGAGGACCCCAGTGTGGAATCATCTGATTACCCCCTTTACTATCAAGCTCTTTTCTAGTAAGTAGTTACTAATTTTGCGTTCCTGTATAACAGTGCTCAGCCAGAAGGTTACATGGCAATCCAGTTGCTCTCAGGTTCTCACCAGTTGTACTTTGCCCTCTTCTTTATTTCAACATTTCTCACTCAGCTCTGCTCTTTCTATTGATGTCTTTGCTGGCAATCCTGCTGCTTCATGTCTGCCTTTGCCTTGAAGGTGTCCCTGCCAATGCACTCTGTCTTCCTTCTCCCAGCTGCCAGAGGGTCATTTCTGGCATCCCACCTTCTCCTGTCACTACTTGCCGCAAGCCAGCTTCCTTTGCTATTAACCGAACAATTGCAGTTTTCCGTAGCTGCTTCCAAATGTGTATAATCTCCTGATTACAGCTTGCTAACATTCCCCCAAAGCATCAGGCTTGCTGTCTGACCAGAAGTCAAGAGGAAAGAGTTACTGGCTTTGGTTGTGCATCCAGTTAGGCAAACTGCAGCCTGAGGACTGCCCTTTGAGGCAGACGTACCCAGCAGGGTCTGGGCTTCAGATGGCCAGTGATGGAGTGAAAGCTGTCATGGATGACCAATATAATCTAATAAACTCCTCCATATTTAACGTACATTCAACTATACTGCTTGGTTTTTTTATATATATGAGTGGGATAATGCTTCTGATATATTGATTTTCACTTATATATGATGCTTTCCTTTCCATCATGTGTTCTGCAATTTAGAAACACAGCATTATTTTTCTCAGTCAGTTTAGACAGCAGTAAACGTGAATAAATGTTTAAATTTTCTGAAACCAAGTAAAATATTATTTAAAAGGTTCTCTTATCTCTAAAAAAATTATGCTTACAGTTCTGATTGCATACATAAATAAATCTGTCATCAGCAAATGCAAAACAAATGATTATAGAGAATCTAGCTTAAACACAACCTGTCATAGCAAATTTAATTAAAAACTGGCGTATATCTAGATTATTTTCTACCTTCACCGGGATGTCTGATCAAAAAGGAAACCAACCAGGCAGACCAGGAAATTGTGGAAAGACTGTCAGCTCCTTTGAGTGCTGTGTTCAAATATATGTCTAATCCAATTAAACCCAAATAAACGGTCAAAAGGCTATGGCATGCTTTCCCAACAATTTCTCCTGTGACAGAACTTAGTGTATGTATTTCACTGAAGCACTACCATTACTGAGATAGGCAGACCAGACAAGTGTCACCATTGCTTTTCAACCTATTTAAATACACTGCCATTACCTGCACCTAATGTTGGGTCTTTTGCCTTATCAGGGTGACATTAAAGCCTCAATTCTGGAAAGAACGTAAATGTGTTTTAAGTAAGTTATTACTTCTGTGATCAAAATAAAGGGTTATGTTGGGGAGAAGAGGTGATATTTACAAAAAAATGATAGCAGATAATGAAAAGCAGGAAGATAAAAAACCCCTTTTATTCCAAGCAGAAATAAAAGCATTCCTAAGAAGAGTTTGTCCACACAGAAACACAGTATCTTCAGTTTGAAAGCTATTTTAGGAAACAGCTAAGCTGTACAATGGGTCAGCTTAGATATGCCATGGTTTGGACTATCTCCCTTCATATCAAGTTCAGGAGTCACATGGATGAGTTCATCCTACAGTCAGGGTCTAGAAATTCTCTGTACTGTTATATATATCTACTTTAACTGTTAACTTCATGTTCTGTAAATAGGTCTTTTGAAAAGTAAATGTATTACTACAAAAGGCACTACGAGTCCTGGAAACAGCATTGTCAGGCTTAGGCAAAGGACAAACACTATGTAGCTGCCCTACGGTGCCACTCTTCATTGGGGGTGGGAGCAATTTCAAATTTTTGTGCTAATTTAAAACTAAGGCTACATCTCCCAAAATCATCATCATTTTATTAGTTGTATTATTTGTGCAGGGACATTGAAGACAGCTTTCCTGGTAGCAGCTGTAGGAGTATGGCATTTGCTTTCAGAGCACCTCGGCATGACCCTGAACCTCCCCATCATCCCAACAAAACGCAGGCATTAAGTATATAAAACAATTTTCCCCACATTATTTAAAAAGAACTTAAGCCTCTGTGTGGGGGTGATGAGAGAGAGAAATAAGACATGTAAGATGTTTTATAAAGATATATTTTAACTTATAAGGCACTCAGGAACCATGGTGATGAATGTGACACAAACTTAAATTGCTTAGATATGAGCTCTGATCCACAGGGAACTATCCTAAGAATCATAAAGAGCATCAGATGCTAATAACTTCCAGTCAGCACCTACCTGGGCTTGATTTAACTGGTGACATACAGCTGAAATCCCTTGAGACTGATTTTCATTTAAATGTCAACCACTGCTTTGACAGTGTAAAGTGACCTCAATGAAAATGAGGATCTCACTGTAATCTTACGCCGTTGGGAAGTTAAAAACAGTCTTTCACCCAAACTGCTGGACAACCTATGCCAAAACAAATTTACCTTCCCCCCCTCCCCAGTATTCAGCATTGTGACTGACTTTGGAGGTGGCTTATACAACATGGAGTTAAAACTAGTAAACAGATTGCTATGTTTGTTTTGTGCATGCCAAGGGGAGCACAAAAGATTATTAATTGCAGAACTATACTGCCAGTAACAACCTTGATCTTGTACATGGTATCATTCCATCACTGTCAATCTGACACTTGTAGATGTCTTGTATTATCTATCATGTTCTTGTTAGATTTGCTGTTCACAAATATAGTTTGAAAACACAGTTGAAATCTCAGGTAATTTTTATGTTCCTTAGTTTTGTACAATTAGTTTAGAGTTGCATTCTGAATGTTTTAAAAGGGATCAATTTCACAGCAGCCTTAAAAGCTTATTATATAATTCTAACAATTTTAATTAATATACTGACATTTTGTTGCTGTCTATATAATATTAAGTTGCTTTTATTTTTCAGCTGCAAGTAGCAGCAGTATCCAGGCACTGTCCTGTACTTCAGTAATGGAAATTTCCCAGCCTTGAAGCACACTCAGTCAGCTGCAATAAAACTCTGAGTGATTTCAATATTGCTGTGTGCTTTACTTGTCCTCAGTTATCTGGAGCTTGTATCTTTTGAAAACCAACTACTCCTCATGATCTTGCTTCATCTTACCCAAGACTTAAAATTCAGTAAACATGCTGTTGATGATAAGATAATTTAATGACCAGATAAAAAGTTACTTCACAGGACTGACAAAACAAAACGTACATATAGTCAATACTTATACAGAATGTTACAGTGACTTCTGAGGATGCCACTGAAGTCCTGCTATATGACTTGTTTTCTTGTGCCGAAGCTTTATGCACTGGAAGGATATTAAGTTTTTACAAAAAGATTTAGCTAGTAAATAACATCAGTCCCTTGATCTCTGTATTTCTTATATCATTGATTGCTAGGAAAATACAAGAAAATACAAAAAAGGAGGTAAGATTATTACAAAACCTCAGAAATCTAATAATTTACAAATACTAAAATATGCAGTCTGTTTCCCTGACTTGTTCTCAGTTCAGCTACAGACAGGACAAGTGATGACTCCAACAGAGGCAGAAGTCAAACAATGTAGAAACAGGATTACTAGGGGTCTATTTTGTCCAAATATTGCAGCAACTACTATGAATAATTCTTGCTCATAGCTAAAAATTTAGGGAGCATTTATAATGAGGCTGGCTCATGTGAGGGCAGAGGAGAAGGCTGATGAAGGAAAGAATAAAAGAGAATATGGGTGGGGAAGGAGGAGAAGAATGCAAAATAAAAGTACAATGAACAGGTAGTGGGAATGAGCTATGGGAATAGGGTTATAGTTGGAGTGCTGCTATCCAGACCCCACTGCATCTGGCTTTGTGCAGGTAAAACACTTGGCAGACACACAAGGCCCTTCATGGGGAACCAGTTTGGGGAATGATACCAGACCTTCTAAAAAGAGCTTACCAGGACTTGGTTTCACTGATGTTATTGTCAGCTGGGGTGATGTTCATCACAAACACACATGTAGCCAATGATTTTCTGATGGCACAGGTATACTTCCAAGTTGTCTGCTATTACTATATTTAGTTTAAACGATGGGCAGTAGCTAAACAGAAGCAACTGATAGGGAACAGTATACTAACGGGATTCTGAGATTTTCACATAAAAGTCACCAGGGTTCAAAATTCAGCCAACATTGATACATCACGAGACAAGTGGGTGACAGCCTTTATGAGCAAGTTGGAGGCCATAGCACAGCTCTTCTGAATATAAGGTTCCACATATGAACTGTCATACTTAGCTTTCCTGTTGCTAGTCTTGGCAGACGACAAGGAAGAAGGACTGCCTCTTCTCCTTTACTGGCCTTGCTGACACTGAACTGCTGAAGAGGCACCTCCAGATTTACGGCTGAGACACACTTCAAGCACCTGCAGGGAAATCTGCATCTTTGCTCTCTAAGCTGCACGTGTGCTGCAGGAGAGATGGAAGGCATGTTTCTTCGCCTTGCACTTTGTTCAGTCCACTGACCTGAGAGCCCAAAGGGTCTGTACTCCATATTTTTAATAGATACTATATAAATTACAGACATTAATTTCTACAGTCTGAAATTGATGAATCATCATTAATTTTTAAATCAACCATTTCTTTTGCAATTTTGCATATCTCTAGCAGATAAGAGCTGTGCAGACAAGAGATTTCCTGAAGGAAGTGGTGTCACAGTAGTTTGAAAAAAAAGAGCCAAGCTATTGGAATCTGTGTTGCGTTACAGGGGTAATGCAATACCTCAGAGCTCTTCCTGTTTATCATAAGATACACAGTTTTCACCACATCATAAAACTTTCAAGCATTTGTTAATAAACACTCCTAGAGAAAAAGTAATACACAAATATACAAACCCCTGTGGCATCTGTCATTATAAACAAAAGGAGATTTTCATTATATGTATCAAGGGACTATTTGTGTGAGAGAAGCAAATTTTGAAGGCCCCATCCACCTTCCACTGATGTCCATGTTGCATCTCTCATTAGGTAATTGGACCCCTGGCATATTTTTCTTATATGTAAATTAGCAAGACATTTGAATCAGCAAATATATTTTTTACTATCAGCATCTCTATTTTTTTCAAACAGTGTGGGTATATAGAGAGCAAACATCTACAGGATTTACAGCAGAGAGCCTTACATGAAAACAGCAAAAGAAAGATTTACTTTAACAACAATAATCTGCAAGTGCTGCGGTACCTAATCAAATATACAGATTGTGCAGATGTTCAGAGCAGTGCTGTCTCGCTGTGTGGCCTTTCTCACTTGACAGCTTTGTTATCTCAATTAATTCTTCTGGATAAATTAACCTAGTTTGAAAAGGTAGAGCTGGGGAGCAGAAGGACAAAGCTGTTCTAACACCAGCAATGTTAATGGTACAATTTTCACCCCCTGCCGATCCGATCTTTGACAAGGAAATGAGAATTATTGAGACTGATTCAGGATGTTCTTGTGATCATGGCTAGGACTTGCTCTGCAGCTGACAGGCACACGGCGTGTGGGTCAGGGAAGAAATTAAACGTTTTTGACAATTCTATAGGGAATAAGCATTTTGATAGGTAACTATACAACAACAATGCAAAGACAGGCCTTGTGTCTCATACAGCTTCACCACTGAAGGACGTTTGGTAAGTTCAGAGCAAACTATAAGGCTTATCTCTTTGTTCAAGCTTTCTGGAACAAATGGGAACATCTGAACTGCAGTTTCATGTGGTAATTCTGCTGCACAGAAATTCAAGATGGGTAACAACTGTATACAATTCTTACTTCTTTAAATGGCTATAACATTTTAAACTCTGCCACGTAGGCTGTTATCAGTTAGACCAGGGGAAAGATTGAACCTCAGAAAGATGTTCCATTCAGCCACCAGTACTAGATCTAGCTATATTGAATTAATAATTAAGAGATTTGTAGCTTTTTGGATTTTGAAAGTTTTAACAATTGGAAAATTATCTGGCTCACATTACTGTTGTCTTACTTGACATATGGTGGTTATTACTCCAGATATGCAGAGCCTAGTGATAAGAGATGCCTTTTAGAAGTGCAATACATCCATTGTAATCAAGCACTACATTTGTCTTACTGCATTACTGAGTCTCTGGGTTTTGTACAAGTGACACAAAATTGTTGTCAGGACCTATCAGCGTCCTGCATCTCAACTAACTTTTCAATACGTTGTCTCATTTCCCACTGATGTTAACAGAGCCAAACTGAATCCCTGGCCTGGAAATCCTGAGAGAAAGACTAACAGCAAGGAAAATTATTTTTTACTATTACAATAAAGGCTGCTTTAAAAAAACAAAACAAAGCACAAAAAAAAAAATGAGCAAGAGAGAGAACACCATTCTTTTTGAAGGAGATAGCAAAATACCTGCAGGATGATGCTCTGCATCCAATTTTAAAGATACCATTAATGGCAGTAGGGTAAGATTAAGTGATTATGCTCTGCCTAACAGTACGTGTGGGAGAGCAAGCAGCAGATGTCCAGCCACTTAGGCCTATGCCTTGCGCACCAGACCGTGGTATGGAAATGCATGTGGATATTTAATTGTTATTCAACTACAAGTTGCCTGGATTTATGAGTCTGGGAAGCGCATATGCTGCAGTGAGAAATGAGTGTTTATTAGCACAGTAGCTGTGCTGGCCTTTCACGCAGAGAGGCAAAGTGCCCCCATCTATAGAAAATGGATTAAAAGGGGGCAGCGTGCCACTCTCATGTCCCATTTACCTTTGTGAAGTGCAGCTGGATAAATGCCAATATATGGATACATTTCCATCATGAACTCTGAACAGCTTTTACTGCTGCTTGTCACAGATAATAAAAAAACAGCAGCTGTCCTCTCATCAAATCCCAATTTGGAGAAATGTGTACCTAAATAAGGGACATAGACAGGACTTCTCCTTCAGGGACTACTACATGGATGCACAAGAATAAACCCTTTAGGAGCTAGATATGGAAGATGGGACCATTGCCCTGTTTTCAAGCATTTTTCTGGTGCTTGTTGCAGCAACCTTCTGTGGTCGCTCTGAGCATGTCCTCTTTCCTCCTTGGTTCCTCTTCCACTACTCTTACCCATGACAACATCCTCCCGGGCTCCTGCAGTCCCATTCTTTCCTTTTTCTGCCGCATGGGCTGGCACTGCTGGGTGAACTCCCTTCACCAACCCAGTCAGCCTCCCTGATCGGGCCATGTTCATCTCGTGCCCTTTCACCTAGGAGGTGAAGTGGGAGGTTGGCCGTAGAATAGCAGTGAGGCATCCCCCAGCACACCCCAAATCTGCAGCAAAAATCTGACATCCGTACTTCTCCCACTCATTGCAGTTTCAGCCTCTATTCTCAGAGTGTCCAGCTCTCCTCCTTTACTGGACTGGTATATTTTTTACTGAATTAATTTTCTTACAGTTTATTGAGCTGCATGAGCTCATCAAAGGGCCAGACAAGCACTAGACCTGTACAAAGAAAGCAGGAGGGCTGGGAGCAGAAGCGTCCTTGATACTACCAGTCCATTAGATTTGGCTCAGCTGCCATGTGATATCACTCCCTCAGACTAGTTTCATCTGTGAAACAGGGAGGTTTGACTACACTGCTGAGAAGCCTTCAGACACTTCTTTTGCCTTTTCTATCCTTTGCCTCGCTTTTCTCTGTTCCTGAAAAATGCAGAAAAAAAAAATCATGAGGGCAGTATAATAGTGACTTCTTTACCACCTCCTTTCTGCTCATTCTCTTCCTCTCCTGTTTCTGCCATTTACCCTTCCCAAAACCTTTCTGCTGCAATTGTCTATGCTCCTGGTGACCTTGTCCTACCATCTCACAAGCAGCTGTTGACCTCTGGAAATGCACTCATCATCCAGGATCTTCTTCCTTGCAAAAATACTGCACAAACAAGACAGGCAAACAGGCCTTCTTTCTGAGGATAAGAATACAGAAAAAAAAAAAAAAAAAACCCAAACCAAATACAAAAAAAGAAAAAAAAAAAAGAAAAAGGTATTACACAATCCACAAGACATGCGCATTACTCA